ATAGAAACATCAATGATGAGAAAGAATCATTAATTAGCTGCCTCTTGCATGCCCCCCAATGGGGGATCAGCCCGCAACCCGGGCATGTGCCCTTGACTGGAATTGAACCTGGGACCCGTCAGTCACCAGGCCGACACTCTATCCACTGAGCCAAACTGGCTAGGACTGATTTTTTTTTTTTTTAACATTCCGTGGTGTCTCTGAGTTACTGCCAGCTTTATCCACATACATGGTATCCTGGTTGATAGAACCAGGCAAATGACCAGCCTTTCCTGTCCCTAGTGCTGCAAAATGTGAGTACCATATGGATAAAGGCATGGCAGTGAGCCCATTTGTGGTATCCTATTCTCGGGCTCTCTTCTTTGGTGAAATACAGCTTTTCATCATTTATTCCACAGTCTCTTTATTCTCCTCTATAGACTCTATCTCCATCCCCTTGAGAGCTCCCTTGATGAGATATCACTATTAATCGATTGTTCCAATGTAGTGCTTTCCTGCACTTCATCTTGTTGCTTTACTTAACACAACACTAATAGATTTGTAATTTTGGTTCATTATTTATACCTTTCTTTCCTTGCTGATATTTCTTTAAAAACTTTAATAGCTACATTGATGATACAACTGACAGCTTGATTTCTCAGTTCTTGGTCTTTCAGTCCTTTCTATGAAATCGACTTCTTCAGTTTTAATGATTTTTTTCCAGTCTACTTGACCATATTAGCCTTTGACAGAAATGGGAATTGCTGTACTTACAAGACTGTAAACTCATTGTTTCCTTCTTTGATTATAATCTCTTTGTACTTATTTGTTCCACTACTCATTCATTTAATAAATAGTTATCAAGCACTATGCTAGTTCTAAGAATACAAGTTCTTCCCCATACTCCCATTCTTTTACCAAAAAATTGTTGTCTTTATACTCCATTGGATAGTAGGGTTGGCAACTGTTGTCCACAAGACAAATGTGGCCCACTACCTGTTTTTGTACACAGTTTTATTGGAACATGGACTGCCCAATCTTTTATGTATTATCTTTCATGCTATAGTAGCAGAGTTGAGTAGTTGCAATAAACACCACATGACTCACAAAGCCAAAAATGTTTACATCTGGCCTTTTACAGAAAGAGTATCAACTCCTGTTCTGTCCTAAAGTTCAGCCACTTCCACTTTGCCATTTCCTTGCTTTTCCTGTCTCACCTCAGCTACTATATTATAAAACTGGTTAAAGATTATAGAAATCAACTACTTAAACTAGCTTAAGCCAATAAGAGAAGTTATCATAGGGACATAGATGGCTAGCCTAATATGCTAATTGTCCCTCCGACTGTTTGACCAGTCGCTATGACGCTCACTGACCACCAGGGGGCAGATGCTCTGACAGTAGGTTAGCTTACTCCTGGGGTCCAGCCGATCTGGACTGGGTGAGAGTGAGACGGGCCGGACGACACGCCCTGCCCTCCCACAGTCCATCCCTGGCCCCAGTTGTGCACCGGTGGGGTCTCTTGGCCTGGCCTGTGCCCTCTCACAATCCAGGAGCCCTCAGGGGATGTTGGAGAGCTGGTTTCAGCCCGATCCCTGCAGGCCAGACCGAGGGACCCTACCGGTGCACAAATCCGTGCATCAAGCCTCTAGTGCAGTGGTTCTCAACCTTCCTAATGCTGCGACCCTTTAATACAGTTCCTCATGTTGTGGTGACGCCCAATTTCATTGTTACAAATTGAACATAATTGAAGCATAGTGATTAATCACAAAAACAATATATAATTATATATGTGTTTTCCGATGGTCTTAGGCGACCCCTGTGAAAGGGTCGTTCGACCCCCAAAGGGGTTGCGACCCACAGGTTGAGAACCGCTGCTCTAGTGGCATATATGAGCAGGATTGCAACTGGACATCAGAAAAGAACTAAAACCAGAAATTGGATCACTGTCAGAAGTTGAGAATTAACTGTCTTTGTGTCCTGTTTCTTTCTCCTTGGCAGAATAGTCTTTCCTCCTATGTTCACATACTTTTGTTCCTTTAGTTTTTAGTTTCTGTCTTGATAGGTTACAATTCTAGTCACATTTAGGCTATTTCAGTTTCAATTCCAAATTCCTGGGAAAGATGCACTTTGAGTGAGCTATCTTACTCTAGAATTAGCTATGCTCACAAGATGGGAACATATATTGCAAGTATGGCAGATAACCCAGAAGGTGATTATAGCTACCAAATGCAGATCATTTGGGTAGTCATTTCTAGGCTGCTCCATGTAGAAGCCTAGACTCACTAATTTCTCTATCTGCTTGACCTATATATTTTTATGCCAGTGCCTCTATTTTATTTACTTGGACAATATTTTACATTTTATGTCTGTTAAGATAATTCCTTCTTTTACATTCCTTTTCAGGATAACTAATTTTCTACATTCTTCTGGTTGGAATCTAGATTCATTGGGGTTTTTTTATTGTTGTTTTATAGGATTTTGATTGGAATGCAGTTAGGTTCAGAGATTGGTTTGGGAAGAATGAAGATCCTTATAATATTGAATCTCTCAATCTCTCTGTTTAACTGTCTTTTATGTCCCTCAGAAAAATTTTCTGGATGATTTTTATGGATCTTACATTTTTCTTATTAGATTTATTTCTAGTTTATTTGTGATTTTTGTTATTACCGTGAAGAGCATATTTTAATTTTCTACATTTCTATAAAATGGCTTTTCTTGGTAGTAAGAAACAGTATCTATTTTATATGTTAGTCTTGTTATTGCTATTATATCCTAATTAATTATTTTAGGTAGATATTCATATCATTTGCAAATAAGTAATATTTTTTTCTTATTCCTTTTAAAACATCCTCTGGAATAATATCTATTGGGTAAACATGAAGAGACTTTCCCTTCTTACAAGAAATTTATAATCTAGTGAAACAGACAAAAATAAATTGTTAAAAGTTCAGTGTAATAATAGCTTTAATGGAGTTATGGACAAGGGCTAGTGATAAAAAACAGAACACCCAAATATGTCTAGTAGAAAGAGTGAAGGTTTTGTTGAAGAACTATTGCTTTGAATTGAATCTTAAAGACTAATCAAGAGTAGCCCAGCTGGTGTTGCTCAGTGGTTGAGCCCTGACCCAGGAACCAAGAGGTTGTGGGTTCCATTCCCAGTCAGGGCACATGCGGCTGGATCCCCAGTAGGCGGTGTGCAGGAGGCAGCCAATTGATCATGTTTCTCTTACTCATCGATGTTTCTATCTGTCCCTCTCCCTTCCTCTCTCTAAAAATCAATAAAAACATATTTTAACATAAATAAATAAATAAAAATAGTAATCAAGAGTTTTCCAGGTAAATAATGTTGGGGGACATTTAGTAAACAAGATATGCAGTGAAATGACATGAAAGATCGTAACACAAGCAGTTTGTCCACTTAAATTATAGTAGAGTAGGTAGCAGGGTGAATTACTGTGTAGAAGTGGTGAGTATCATAGTGCAAAGAGCTTTGATTTGATCTTAGAAGTAGAGTGCTGGTGAATCTACAGATGGTGACATGAATAGAATTCCATTTTGTGACGATTTCTCTGGATTCAGTGAAGTACATGTAGTGAGTATAGAGTGAGATGGTGGAAACGTGGGTAATAATAACCTTAAACAGTTGACAAAGGAAGAGAAATCCATGAAGGAATTGTATTATAAAAGGTCTAAGAAGTAGTAGGGAGACAACTAAAAGAACATAATGATACAGAAACCTAAAACAGATAGTGTCAAGAAATGGGAGTGGTCACCAGTGTCAAATGCTGCTATAGGAAATAAGGACTGAAAAACATCCATTGTATTTTTCCTCAAAAGTTATTGATGACTGAATAAGTTTCTCTAGATGCTGGAAGCAGAAACCAGATCTAACAGTAGGATGTAGAATAGATTGAATGGGAACAGGTTGGGCATGGAAAACATAGTTAGGAAATGAAGAGCTACACCTAAGATTTTTTTCCCCAAAGATTGGCTTTCATCAGAGAAGGATTTCAGATTTAAGGTAAATGGTCATATTTGTATGTTGGTAGGAAGGTGTCAAAGGAGAATACAAATTGAAGAAAGAGGAAAAAATGCTACTAATTAAACAAGTTCCCAGAGCAGGGGTGGGCAAACTTTTTGACTCGAGGGCCACAATGGGTTCTTAAACTGGACCGGAGGGCCGGAACAAAAGCATGGATGGAGTGGAGTGTTTGTGTGAACTAATAAACAAGTTCCCAGAGGCAAGTGGAATCAAGAGAGGGTAGATGGATTAGCCTTAGATAGGAATGGGGTATATATTAATGTACAATTGCAGATAATTTTATAGATAGGGGGCAGAAAGTTGAAGGAGTTCTCCTATCCTTTTTAATTGTGTGAAGGAAAAACAGTCCATTGAATTTGAGAGAGAACACTGTAAGTAGCCTAAGTAAAAGTAAAGTTTCTAGTAATTTGTATAGGGAATAAAGTGTTGTGTGGTGTTTTTTTTAGAATAAAATAACTTAATGACTGATTTGGATTAAGTGAAAAAATTCAAAGATGAATTCACAGTTAGAAGACTAAAAAGTTGAGAGAAAAGGGGAACTCTAAAAAGGAAATTGTTTAAGCCAAATTTATACTTAGTAGTGATTGAAACTTCTAGTGAAGTTATCCAACAGGCAGCAAGAGATAGAAATCACGAAAGAAGTCAGTATGCTACTTGGTTATATCATAGACCATTATGTTATCTTTCCTCTAACACAGTGGTCGGCAAACTGCGGCTCACGAGCCACATACGGCTCTTTGGCCCCTTGAGTGTGGCTCTTCCACAAAATACCACGTGTGGGCACGCATGTACAGTGTGATTGAAACTTCGTGGCCCATGGGCAGAAGTCGGTTTTTGGCCTGGGTGAGTCTATTTTGAAGAAGTGGCATTAGAAGAAGTTGGGGTACATTCGCTGAGGTCGACCCCTCAGATTCATGACGTTTTTGAAAAGGCCAGCTTAGGAGTACCCTAATTAAGTTAATAACAATGTACCTACCTATATAATTTAAGTTTAAAGAATTTGGCTCTCAAAAGAAATTTCAATCGTTGTACTGTTGATATTTGGCTCTGTTGACTAATGAGTTTGCAGACCACTGGACTAGAGGAAGGACCCTCAGATTTGGACGTGGTTATTTGAATGATCAGTGGTATGTATTGAGCCCCTGCTGTATACAGAATGATGCAAAACTCAGTCATCCCTGGCCTTAAGAAATGTACCTTTTCTGAGAACAACAGGGAAAACCTGAAATGGCAGAGAATAATTGGGGGACAATGTGCGTCAATGGGTGACAGGAAGACAAGGGGATTGGACCGCACCCAGGATCAGCTGCTGTGCTGGGTGTGCCGCCAGCATCAGGGTCCACCCAGCAGCATCTCTGCGCAACAGAATCGCAGGCGCTATCATTATTGTAATAAATAAATTCTTATTAATGAATGAATTTTTGCTTTCCCTGGTTTTTGTCTTTTATATTTTTCAGTATCATTTTATGGTTCCTTTCTGTCAGTTATTTGGTCTACTCACTTTATAATAATGCTATCTCATTCTAAATTTTCCTGAACCTACTGTTTTTTCCTATTTTATTCTTTCTTCCTTGGTAGACCAGTTCATCCCACCACTACTTGTTTTAATTCTTTGTTTATTCACCTTACTTTGCATAATTTACTATTGATTTACCAGCCCTTTCTCTTAACTCTTCTTGCTCCTGCAGACTCATTCTTTGCCTCATAAACACTCTTTTCATACCTGTTCTCCAAGAAAAACATTTCATTGCATCAGATAACTAATAATCGATAATAGTAATTATGTAGTTTATACTCTTTACCAAGTAATGGGTACTGTTCTAAAAGCTTTGTGTATATGAACTAATGTAATCCTCAAACAATATTGTGAGGTAGTAAACTACATTTGATATAGTAGATTAATTTATCTTAATTTGATTTATCTGAATTATCTAATTTTTCTGACAGTTTCTCCTTAATAGAAAAGAACTTGGCTGATGTTTCTGTTTTCTATTTATTATTCTAGATGTTTTAAACAGAGATAAGGATGAGGAACCAACTGTGAAACAAGAAATTGAGGAAATTGAGGAAGAAATGGAATCAAAGGGTATAATAGTTACAAGAATCAAAAGTGAAACTGACCAGGATCCCATGTGTAGAGAAACCTTTGAACTTGTTGGTAGGTTAGATAAACAGAGAGGAATCTTCTTATGGGAAATACCAAGGGAGTCTTTGACCCAGGAACAAAGAATGTTCAGAGGAAACACTAACATTATTCGTAAGAGACCTAACTCAGAAGAGAAATGCCATAAATGTGAAGAATGTGGAAAGGGTTTTGTCCGCAAGGCCCATTTCATTCAACATCAACGGGTCCATACTGGTGAGAAACCGTTTCAATGCAATGAATGTGGGAAAAGTTTTAGTCGCAGTTCATTTGTTATTGAACATCAGAGAATTCACACTGGAGAAAGGCCCTATGAGTGTAACTACTGTGGAAAAACCTTTAGTGTGAGCTCAACCCTTATTAGACATCAGAGAATCCACACTGGAGAGAGACCCTATCAGTGTAATCAGTGTAAACAGAGCTTCAGCCAGAGAAGGAGCCTTGTTAAACATCAGAGGATTCACACAGGTGAGAAACCCCATAAGTGTAGTGACTGTGGGAAAGCCTTTAGTTGGAAGTCACACCTTATTGAGCATCAAAGAACTCACACTGGTGAAAAACCTTATCACTGTACCAAATGTAAAAAAAGCTTTAGCCGAAATTCATTACTAGTTGAACATCAGAGAATTCACACTGGAGAAAGACCCCATAAATGTGGTGAATGTGGGAAAGCCTTTAGATTAAGTACATACCTTATACAACACCAAAAAATCCACACTGGTGAGAAGCCTTTTCTTTGTATTGAATGTGGAAAAAGCTTCAGTCGGAGCTCATTCCTTATTGAACATCAGAGGATCCATACAGGTGAAAGACCTTATCAGTGCAAAGAGTGCGGGAAAAGCTTCAGTCAACTTTGCAACCTTACTCGTCATCAGAGAATCCACACAGGAGATAAACCCCATAAGTGTAAGGAATGTGGAAAAGCCTTTAGTAGAAGCTCAGGTCTCATTCAGCATCAGAGAATTCACACCAGAGAGAAGACATATTCATACAATGAAACTAAGGAAAGTTTTGATCCAAATTGCAGTCTTGTTTTACAGCAGGAAGTCTTCCCTAAGGAAAAATCTTATAAATGTGATGAATGTGGGAAAACTTTTAGTGTCAGTGCTCATCTTGTACAACATCAAAGAATCCACACTGGTGAAAAGCCCTACTTATGTACTGTGTGTGGGAAAAGCTTCAGTCGGAGCTCATTTCTTATCGAACATCAGAGAATCCACACTGGTGAGAGACCCTATCGATGTAGACAGTGTGGCAAAAGCTTTAGTCAACTTTGTAATCTTATTCGACATCAGGGTGTTCACACAGGTAATAAACCCCATAAATGTGATGAATGTGGAAAAGCCTTTAGCCGGAACTCAGGCCTTATTCAGCATCAGAGAATACACACAGGAGAGAAACCTTATAAGTGTGAGAAGTGCGACAAAAGTTTTAGTCAACAGCGCAGCCTTGTCAACCATCAGAAGATCCATGCAGAAATGAAAACCCAAGAAACCCATGAATGTGATGCTTGCGGCGAAGCCTTCAATTGCCGCATATCTCTTATTCAGCATCAAAAATTGCACACTACATGGATGCAGTAAGTGTAGAGAAATATTTAAGCTTAGTTGGACTTGAGACTAGCTTACCCAAGTGCAGTTTCAACATTGCTCAATATGAGTCAGATTTAGTAAGAAAGGAAAGTATCTTTGGCCTTAGGCAAATGGTTTCTAGAGATTCTGTGAATAGTGGACAACCAGCTGCCCACAGGCATTTTTCATTACTCTTTGTTTTGATGACTCAGTAATTTATGCGTCTTTTTTAAACAAATCTTTCAGGTTAAACCTGGGCTCAGAGCATTTGGTTATAATAATGAAGGGAGAATGACAAAGTTGCATTGATACAAGGGAGCTAGAACCACTCATGTTAGAAAACTAGAATAATTCTTCAGAGACCTCTCCCACATCTTATATGGTAGTTCTTTCGGTTCTATGATATGTTTGGCTATGCATGCCAAAGCCCAGTAATTGAGCATATGATGAAGTTTTCAAGGAAACAGCCCAGATTTTTTGAAACTGATTTGTTTTTTGAAATGGTTTTTTTTTTTTATTTTTGAAACAATTTTTTGTCATTGATTAAGCCAGTTATTTGGCACGTGAGTTACAAGAAAGCAGTTCCAATGCCTCTTGGTTCTCAGAAATGTGAAATGAGTGGACCATTAATTTTACATGTTAAGATTATGTAACAAACCTAGCAAAGGTGTTACCAAGGAATCTTTGGCAGTGCCTTTTTTTCCCCAAAAAAATGGGCCCAAAAAGTTGGAGGAAGACACTATTCTTTTTGTGTCCTCCCATCTGTGAAAGATATTTGTAATCCTATACAAATAATCGTATTCCTTCACTACCAGTAGCATGTGAAAGTGTACATATTTTGATTGCCAAGAATTGAAAATAAAGAGACCTGGAGTCTATGTTAGGAAGCTGAGATATTTTGGTATTGCTTTGGTTTTTATAGTAACTAGACTTTGCATGCAGTTTTAAAATTCTTATTTCTGGTTCTAGGGCTTCCCTTAGTTAAAGGTTACTATAAACCTATTAATTCATCTGTTCTAATCATTAAACCTGTTTTGGTTTTTTGCTTTGTGTAAGAGTTCTTTGTTACTGTAGTGTAACATCTATCCTGTCAAATATATTACTATGTTTAAAAATTAGAATCAAGATTTAAAGGAAATTGCTCTACCTGTGAGATAATAGAGATATCCAGAGGTCATTGGAGTTGTGGACATGATACACAGGGAAGATATCTGGGCTATAAATTTACTTAGGATTCCCAAGTGTTTAGACACAGAAATGAATTAAGATTTAACAAGAGGATAAAGTAAATAAAACAAAATGAATGAATGAATCAAAAAATGGACTTCCAAGGCCCACTCTTGTTTATTGGGTGGGCAAGATGTGAAAGAAACAGGGAGTTTCCAGAAGTATGGAAAACCCAATATGTAGTGATAGTTGCTATAGGAAAATGGCCTAGAAGGATACTGAGGAGATATCAGTGAGGGGTTGAAGAGTATCCTTTAGATAATTAGAATGTCAATGAGTTCTATAAGAGCAGCTTTCAAATTTGGAAAGAACCAGTTTTCAGGGGGTTAAGTAATGTCTGGAGAGTCTAAATCAGTTCCCAAATACTATCAATTCATGACTTCTACATTCAAATGGTAAAAAGGATAATATAGTGTCTTTGTAAACAAGTTAAATTGATTAAAGACCTTACTTAATTCTGAAATTATGCCCCCTGCTTTTTTAATTTAAAAAGTTCTTTTACAAAATATTAGTAATTTTAGGTGATGGTCTGTTGAATATATGTCTCTGTAGGTTTAAAAAAATTGGCAACCTTTTTTCAATTATTCTTCTTACCCACCTAATTTTATTGGTCTATAGCAGTGGTCAGCAAACTGCGGCTGAGTATTTTTCCATTCTGAACAGAGAGCCACTTGAGGGAAGTTGAAGATAAAGGAAAGCATGTGGACATTGATTGTTACGCACGTACAATGTAATTGAAACTTCGTGGCCCATGCGCAGAAATTGGTATTTTGTGGAAGAGCCACACTCAAGGGGCCAAAGAGCCGCAGTTTGCTGACCAGGGGTCTATAGTAAGGAGTAAAAGATAGATTGTGAATATAAAGAGGCGTGTGGATAAAGAATAAAGAAAAATTTGAGTATTTTCCCATTCTGAACAGAGAGCCACTTGAGGGAGGTTGAAGATAAAGGAAAGCATGTGGACATTGATTGTTATAATCTAAAATTAATTCTAGCACTAATGGAAGAATTTTATTTGGAGATTTTCTTCCTCCAATTTGATAGAAAAAGAGAACAGATTTAGAAATAGAGTGTGCATGACATGACCTGTTTTCAAAAAATAGTCATATTCATCTTTTGAGAGTCAGGGAAAGAAGGGGTAGGCACTGTTAGGGGTGGAGTTAAGAGCCTCATTGATAATAAAGGTTGGAAGTACAATGGAGAGAATGGAAGACTTGGGGGTGATGGCTTGTGGGGTTTTGTATAGGGCCCAGTTGAAATAAAGGACTATGAACTTTTAATGGAATTGCTCAAATTCCTTGTTGAAATAACACATGGGACGATTTTGAAAGAAAATTTAGAGTTAAAATAGTTGAAGCAAAATACTAGTAGATTTATTCAGGTTCTTTAGAGAATCAGCCAATAAACCAAAAGGATATATAGGTAAGCAGATGATGGGTGGGTGGGTGAGTAGGTATATAGATTAGATAGATGATAGGTAGATAGATGATAGATAGATAGAATAGGAATTGGCTCCTGTGAATATGGAGGCTAAGAACTCCCACAATGTGCCTGCCATCTGTAAGCTAGAGAACCATGAAAGCCAAAGGTATAATTCAGACTGAGTTCAGAGACCCTAAAACCAGGAGCTTTTTATAGAGACTGGAGGAAATGATGTAGTTTAGGCAGAGCAAATTTGTTCTTCCTCCACCTTTTTGTTGGTTTCAGGCCCTCAATGAATTAGGTGATGCCCACCAACATTGGTAAAGGCAATCTTTATTCAGTTTACAGATTCAAATGCAAATTTCTTTCAGAGGCACCATCACAGACACAACCAGAAAAAAATGTTTGCCAGCATTTCGTAGCCCAGTCAAGTTGAAAAAATTAACCATCACAGTG